CTTGTGGAAAATAAACGCTATCCAAAACAATCCATACAATACCGGTCATAACATATAAGTAATAATCTCGATAGCTCGATAGCCTAATCCATTCATTATAACATTGCTCCAGCCTCATTTTCGAAAAAGCAAGGTCAAATGACCACGCCGGACCATAAACCGCACCACACAGTTACACGTTGAGGATGGAGAGACTTTTCAGCAATAAATCTTGGGTTTTATGAGCCCCGAATGCGACAGCGACAGTTTTGCTTGTTGACTTAGCAATCGTGGTGGAAATGGACCTCATCAGTTAAAATGATTTTTCGAAGACATTTTGGATAATTCATCATGCAATTCAAAAGCTCAATCAACGAAGGCTCGATGTTCAGCCGACTGCAGTTCTTGTGTCAACTGAACTTTGTATGCCTTAATACCCAAGTCTTTAGGCGAAATACGGTGTAATGAAGTTTGTGGAATGCCGAGTTCCAAAGAACGATGAGGGATATACAAAACCTGCGTTTTCTTCAACATTTTGGGCTACAGCAGCAATATTTAGGTATTGCGATCCGACCAGGTGCTTCACGACGACCGAAAATTGTTTTAGTTTGGCTCACCGTCTCTGCCAGATTTTCTCCATTTGTATTGTAAATTTTAATATTTTTAAATGCGTTGTTGAAACGTGTAATTTTTACATCTCAAATATTAAAAACTTACAACTCCAATAGTGGCTTCTACCGGAATAATAGATTATTCACCGGCACACCTCTTATTGGAAAACCCTTTACATACATACATACTGTGTATGTATATACTACATATGTATGTACACATCAATCTGCGAACAGTCGAAATGGTCAAGTGATTCTAGATTTTATAGCGATAAGCAGCTAATATCGGAAGAAGTTTTCCTATGCAAATATTCTGCAGTTGTGCTCATATGTACATACATATATATGTATGTACGTGTATGTATGTATGTATGTATGTATGCATTATGCATATAAACAAATAAATGTGTACAACTCCCAGTTATCATAGCAGGAAATCCTTAAGCGTCTTATATTTACATATATGTATATGTACATACATATATTTTTCTTTTGCTGTTTGTTTTACATGTTTTTGCTTAACCTTCAACCACACAGGTCATCTAGTCAAATATTTACTGCTACCGCACCCTCAGCAGCCCTTGATGCGGCAGCAGCGATCAGCATTTAAAACAATAGCCAAAGCCACGCTGAGATTGTTGTAGTTGTTTATTGGATGTTTTATTTGAATGGTACCAAGATTTTACATAAGAGCTATCTCTGGTATATTTGTATATTTTTGTGGGCAAATATGTGAATTAGGGTGGTCGTAAAGATACGTTAAAAAAGTTTTAAAATTTATTTTTATTTATGTACATTCGTGTATGTATAAGTGGGGATTTTGCAACCGTTGAAACGATTTTCGGCTGGTGGTTGGAAAATATAACCCATTATTTCTATTTAAATTAGTTTTCCATAATTTGTGATATTGGTCTTTTGCTAATATTACAAATTTTATTGCCTATACCAAATTTAAAGGGTTTCCCAATAAGAGGCGTAATTTTGAATAGCCTAAAATTTTGGTAAATTAAATAAAAATGGAACGATGCATTATTAAAGTTCACTATAAACGTGGCGGAAGAGACGGTTCGTACTTTAAACGCCCTTTTGGGGTCGTCGTGAAGCATCTTGTCGGACCGCAATACCGAAATTGGTGGAAAGAATGAACCTGTTGGGACAAACTAGTGCTGTAAAGAATAAAACACGTGCACATAGGTCAAGTACAATTGAGAATATTACTGTTGTGGCCTAAACTGTTGTAGTAATCCCAGTTTTGTCCATTCCTCGTAGTTCTTAGAAATCTGGTATTCCTTATACGTCATTACACCGTATTTTGCATAAGGAATCGGGTTTTAAGGCTTATAAATTTCAGTTAACATCATCCGATCATCGACAACGTCGCGTTTTTGTTGATTGTATCTTTGAAATACCGGAAACGTCAGTAATCAAAACTATTGTATCTGTGACACGGAAAACCCAAGATTTATTGTTGAAAACCACCCTCCATCCTCATCGTGTAACTGCTTGGTGTGGGTACATTGGACCTTACTCTTTCGAAAATGAATGGATTAAGATATCGGTAATTGAATGGTATTGAACTGGACGAGGTTGACTATCAACAAGACGGCGCTACGTACGCCACAAGCAGAGAAACCATCGATCTTTGAGAGGAAAAATTTCTTTGAATATCAAAATAACACCACTTATTGGAACACCCGTAAGATTGTAATTTGAAATTTTTCAAAAATTATTATCTTGATAAACAAAACTTGTTTAACTTTCATGTTATAAAAATTTCGTTTATTTATCCTTTTAAGTCACAGATAGTCAATCACAAACAAAGAAAAAAACTTAATTTTTTTCCAATTTCTTCAATTACTAAAAAATTATTTTATTTATTTAAAAAAAAATGTATGAGATTGGCACTTTACTAAAACAGCATCGAAATTGTGACGCAAAATGTGTGTAAAAAATTTGCATCCATCTCCGCTGGTAATTTAAGTCTGCATACGATTTTTTGGTTTTTGCTACAGACATCAATTTGGAGGCATTTACAATTATTCTAGCAAGAAATCAAGCTCCCGTGGCCCATACATACGTATGTATATGAAAGTTCATATATGTACATATGTATGTGAATTCATACGATAAATTGTTATTTGCTTGCTCTTATTTCACTCGAAGCACTTGACCATAACTCTCATACAATTTGGCAAAAGAACCTCATTTGCCCTTCACTCCACACGCCGAGCGCACAAAAAGTTTAATTCTAATTATTTTTTCATTTAGAGCTTTTATATTAGCTTTTGAGGTAGAGTTTGGCTGCATTGTTTTCAATTTTAATAGCTATTATTAGCATATTAAAGCGTTTAGCAGCGTTTTGGCACATCATAATTTTTTTTAGGATTTGCATTTTGCTTAGGACACACCTTTTTTCGTAGGTGGAACAAAGTGAATTATCGATACGAAAAGGTGTTAAAAACACTGTAACGTGTACATATACATACATATGTATGTGTGCAAAAAGTCAAATTTTATAACAACACGACGATACCGAGAGTTAAAGAGGGAAACAAGACCCCATTCACGACCGGTCCATTTTCTCTATGAAAGAGAAAGTGGAAAATGTGAGGAAGAATGCTGGGGAACCATTTTCCAGCCGTATGATGTGACTGAGTTTGATAAGTGATTGTCCGCTTAAAGGATAACAAAGCGAAGGGAGCGGATAGCTTAATGACCCGAGATGTGTAAAATGGATAGAGGGTCCCGCTACTCAAACCGTGAAAACCAGTCAAAAAAATGGGAGTCTTGTCGACCGATATCTCTCTTCTCTCTAGTAGCAAAGACTCTTTCTTTCTGAAAGTAAACTGCTATATCGATGACCCGATGATCCCGCTTATTCACTGCATGATAATTAAGACTACAACCAACGAAATCCTCGGCTATCCTCTTCTCCGTTTGGAGAAAGGAGTACGGTCTTGAACTCTATGTGAAAGTCTATAGTGTAAAAATTCCGACTATAAGCAACCCAAAGTTGTTGGCAAACTACAAGATAATTGCCCGCCGTTCGTAAATTATGCTGCACCGATTTGGGCGCCGGGGATTAGTGAGACTCACTTGAAGAATCTACAAGCCTGCAAAAACACCACCCTCAGAAACATGAAAGAAAACCTTCTCATGTCGACAGAGCAATACTTGCACAGCGAAGCATCTATGCTACGAGTTAAGGAGCTGAGTACAACAGAAAGGGAGTACTTGACCTAAACCACCTTCCAGAATTCTCTTCATGTGAATGGCGTTCTCAGAGTCAAATCACTCCCTATTGCAGACGAAAAGCTCGAGCTGCCTCGGGAATCTCGCGTAATACTGGCAACAGATAAGTTATTGCAGTACAGCGAACTCCTACTTATCCAGACTTGACCCCAAATTACCTAATTTATGTTTTGCTTGCAATGAGTCTGAGTCCGTTAGATGACTGATCTAGACTGCTCCCAAGCGGGGTTAGTAAACCGCTACAACAACAAAAACATATCTTAACGACTGGCAAGCTATTTCTGATTCGGTATAATCGCCGTAGCGATGCCTTCGTCAAAGAAGAAGAATAATTTTCTCAGAAGCTGCTGCTAGTAAGCCGAAAAGGCAGTTTCTTTTTTAAACCTTTCATGAACAGGAAGTTGCATATTAACTTTGGTCCGAAATATGTTAGTAGCAGAAAGAGAAGAGACCCACTGAAATTTAGATCGATATTATCAGAATGACGAGCTGACCACGACAGACCAGCTACTTTCCAAAAAATTAGATTAGTTAATGGAAGGTATAAAGACTGCGACCAGTCCGAAGACAGCACTTCTGTCAAGTTGTGATCCTGCACCGGCAATTAGCAGAATGTCCATTTCATGGGATGTTATCTCGAGGTCGGTGTAAAAATTCAAAAGTCAAGATTTCCATACTCATTATTGGACGTCACTTAGGTCAGCCTACACTGATGTACAAGATTTGTACATATTTTGCCGATGGGAATTAATACAAAAAAATAATTATTTGAATATCATTATTAATAATAATTTCAAAGTTCTACTCAATTAAATTTAATCATTGAAGTCATCATAGGAGTTTAGCCAAACTTGTCGTGTTAACGCAAATTATGCTGTTGAGATATTTTGGAGGTATTACATGGAGGATTTTATAATAAATCAGTAGGGTTGCACTTCCATGCATTTTAAAAGAAATGAGATAATGGACGAAATATCTTCATAAATTATTTAAAAAAATTACTTTTAATATTTGTTAATACTTAAAAAATCAAACAATAATCATATAACTGCATTAAATAAAAAATCATAAATTCACTTTCAGTACATTTTGTAAACAGCCGTTTGCAACCCTGATTGGTATAAATACGAAAGTACTGCGAATTAAGTGCATATTTTCGTGAAATTCTTCAAGCGAATTGGTGTGATAGGCGTGTGGGCTTATTAGCCATTAAAAAAATTACATTATTACATTAAAAACCAAGTAAAAAGCCAATATTTCACTCTAATTTCATAAAATTATTGCAGAGTTAATGGGTGAGAGTAGTTTAATTTAATTAATCTAAAGAAGTAAGCAGTTTTCGCTCCAAAGTGAAGAACATAAGTGAATTTGCGTCATAAAAACGCCTAATTTTATTTGCTTACAAACATAATTGACACTAAAAAAATATCAGGACAAAGCTTAAAGTTTTTATATTTGTGGTACTATTGCAAAAAGACTCATAATTAAAGTAAAAAAAAGTTTTATTAACATATAACATTCCAATTGCACAAATTGCTGGGCAGAAGGGTGACGGTGCAAAAGGGGCGCCAACAAACTGGTAGTACTGCCGATGACTCATCGTTGATAAAATCGCAACGCACACCGCCTAAACAAAAGCAAACGTCAAACGACGTAGCGCCGACTGACAGCAGCAACAGTTCCAAGGCCTCGTAAATACATATTTCGTGTTGACAAAAAATCAAAACAGCTGCGCTGTTGTGTATATCTCAACAGTGACGTCATCACATTGGGGATAAACATTCATACATATAAATCAAGGAATTTACTATGAAAACCACTATCAGTGCAACAACAACTACCAACACAGCTGCGACGGTTAACAGCACCGTACCCTCGGCGACTATCTTACCCAAAACGGAAGCGAACGATTTAAATTTGACTTTCCAAACACCAAACGCGGCAGCACCCAATAGCAATAATTCGGCGGTGGTAAACCCAAATAAACGACCAATTTCTTTGGATTTGAATAAAATGGCGGCAAAAAAGCAACGTCTAGTGCCACCGCTAAACATCGATTCACCTATTTTGGATAATATGAAGACCATTAATACACCTGACATTGAGAAGATCTTACTTAGCAACGTAATGCCGACACCGCAGCCGGGTGTTATATTTCCTGGCAAACCCAGTGATGTAAGTAACTAAATTCAACATAAAGGTACCATCAGCAACATACATTTTACTATTACTTTATTTTTAAAGGTAACCTCTGAGCAGGAAGCATATGTCAAAGGTTTCGAGGAGGCTTTGAGTAATTTGCACCAGAGCAAGAAATCGCAGGCGGCACAAATAACCAACAGCAGTAGTGGTAACGTGATAACTACATCCACTGTAACCAACACGAGCGCTGCAGCGGTTGTCGGTACCGGTGTAAGCGGCGGATCCTTCACATACACCAATTTAGGTATAACATTGTATTAATTATCAAAATGTTTTGCAGCTTATTAATTTTTGTTTATTTTTCCCCTACAGAAAACTTCCCCGTTGCCATCAAAGATGAGCCGCAAAATCCTGGCTCACCAGCCGCACTCAGTCCTATCGATATGGAAACTCAAGAGAAAATCAAGTTGGAACGTAAACGTCAACGTAATCGTGTTGCAGCCTCCAAATGCAGAAAACGTAAGCTTGAACGCATATCAAAATTAGAGGATAAGGTGAAAATATTAAAGGGTGAAAACTCTGAACTGGGCGCTGTGGTTAAAACATTGAAAGACCATGTCGCTCAACTGAAAGAACAAGTGATGGATCACATGAAATCCGGTTGTACCATCTCGATGTTAGCGGAACAGAGTTTATTGGCCGGTAAATAACATGAGGACTTTGTTGTAAGCGCGAGCAAATTAGAACCAAGGCGAAAACCGAAAATAGTGCATCATGAAACGAAATTAAGACAACCAAAGCATGAGTTAGTGAGAGAGCGTGAAACGTGTGCTAAAATTGAGGCAATAAAATCAGAAAGCGATGGAAGCATTTTCATACCAAATAAACAACAAAAATGTAACACCTACAATAATCCAATTAAGCTGGCTTGCAGCACACGAAAACAACAACCCCAGCAAGATGAAACTGAAGCAAATACAGATTTATCGGATTTACAATTAAACAATAGTATAATCAATGTGATTGAGCAACATATGCCCATTGAATTATTCATGGACACACCACCACTAACCGGTGATTGCTCATCGACGCACTCGACAAACTCAATGTGCTCTAGTGGTGGTATTAGTGCTGATGCTGAGCTGCAGCAACATAATCAACAGTCAACAACAACAACAAGTGCAGCTGTACTCGCGCTGGATGCAAACACAGCAGCACAGGCGCTAACAACAGATATGAACGATGATTTCCCAAATACTAATGTGGATGGCGATGGCGAACGGCCACTTGTTTTCGTTATTATCACAGATTACGATATGCAACAATAAGCAATATTACTATATAGTCAAATATGTGCTTTAATAAGCTGTAGATGCAACCGCCAAATACTAGATCGCTTATAAATGCTTTTAACATTAGAAGAAGTGCCTTTATACGAATGCAGAGGTCATGAAATTGCCTCAATACAAACATATTGATTGGTATAAAGAGTAGGATATTTTATATATTTTTAATGCAATTGTTTTCCGCAAAAAATGCCTTATACATACATATATACATATGTAAATTCTAATTTGCTTTGCTTTCATTTACGAAAGTTCTAGTTGTAAACTACTAAAGGTTTTTGATAATTTGCTTACATGTTTGTATTAAATAATTTTACGCTTAACATTAATTTATGTGTTAGCTTTACTAATATTAATGTAAAATTTATACAAAATTTTTAACTTTAAGATTTCAAAAAATATTTATTGTATAAGCACAAAATATACAGACATGTATAGATATGTATTTATTTGCAAAATAAATTAATGGAAAAATATATCGAATGCTTTATTCCATTTGTACAGGTGGTTTTTTTTTTCTTTTTTTAATTCCCCACTTATAAAGCGAAAAGTGGATACCATGGAAAAGAGGTGAAGCACTCTGCGAGCCAATAGCTATAGTTTTTTTTTCTGTAAAAGCTTAATTGAAAAAGTGAAAAGCTATATATGCTGGCCTGGGAAACAACAGCGAAGTGACTGACATCAAAAGCTCTCTCCCACATTTTATATTTCATCGATTAGAAAAATTTTCACTTTCACTATAGGCCACTAAAACCACTCATCTCGGTTATTATATTAAAAAAAAAATAAAAATAAAAAAACAGTATGTTTTAAAACGTTTAGAATTCATTTACTTTATTGATATCGTCAGCAGAAAATACAACACATAATTGCCTTTAAATAGTTCGTATAACTAAATGTGTGTGTATGTATTTGTGTTTATGATTTTATTTATTTTTCAATACATTACTATTAAAATAGTTATATGATTTCGATTTATGACGAAAAAAATAGTTTTATTTTATTATAGTAACTGCGATTAATTGAATACAAATATACTTTAATAATTTGTTTTTATTAAATTTTCACATTTTTATTTTTCTTATTTTTTAATAAACATTAATTTTTATATGATTTTAAATAAATGTATGTACGTATCAATGGGACATATGTTGTTGCACTAAATAATCATATATGAATTCTAATTAATTTTTTTTAATAAATATATTATGTTATGTTTTTTTGCCAAAACAAAATATGCCCGAAATTAAGAATCCTTTCTGTTAGATTTAATGAATGACAAAAATGCATCGCTAGTGAAATATGAGTTTAAATCAATAGAAATAAAATTAATTGATTTAAGAAATTTTTTTTTGTCAAAACCAATGAGGGTAAAAGGGTAAAATATATTAATAAAAACAATCACACATTGGATATTATTCTTTTTATTGTGTGGTGTGCAGAAATAAAATTATACGAATTTTTGTACTATCAAAACATCTCAACACCCTTTAACCCGCTTTTGAAGAACATTGTTTACTCTTCGTTTGACTGAGAATTTACCAAACAAAAAAAAAACTTTTCGCCTAAATATATGCAACCGTTTACATCATCTTTACTTTATTAGTGGCCGCCACATGTAGGCAATGTTTCTGCACTAAAAACGTGTCACAAAGAAAGTGGGGCATATATTTGAGCTCAGTCAGCAGTGATACTAGAATTTCAGGTTTAATTTTCATAAAAGAAAATATTTAATTCTAACTCTAAAAATTAACTTTTCGCTTGACTTTATTTTATACAGCATAATATGGGCAATGTTGCAAGAATATAATTTCAAACATCGCAAACAGATACAAAGTAAACCCTCGAGCAGTAATATTAAGTTTTGTTAACTTTCGAAAGAGTTAATTTCGTTTAACAATTCAAAAAAGAAGCTGACATTTTTAAAAGCAACGCATACTTCTATGTACATACATACATATATAAATAAGTAAAACATGCCAAAATCAACACTAAAAGAAATTTCCCGTTCAGCCAAACCAAAGAGTACCCGCTCAGCAGAGCCTAATTAGAAATTAAAAACTTAAATTATTTGCTAATTATTTTCCAGACAAATATATATGTACATACATATATTCACGCAGGAGCACGTAAATTTATTGACAAACATATTGGTATGATTTTTACAATTATCCTTTAGCCTTGTTGTTACTTTTAAGACTTAACTTTTTTTATTAGTTCACAAATTTATTTATTGATTTGTTTAATTATGAATTTTTAAACTTTTTAACTTTTATTTTTTTTTTTTAATTGTAAGATTTTTCTTAATTTTTTTTTTTCAAAGCTTTTGTTTTCTTGTATACTTTTATTATTATTCATTTTGTCTTTTCTTCAAAAATAAACAGCTTAGGTCATACAATTTTTCAATGTAGTTGTGCACAATTTTCATTTATTTATTTATTTGTATATTTTCACACAAAATGTGTGCAATTTACATTAATATTAATAATAATAAATATATATGTATGTATTTCTATAAATAATACGAATGCTAGAGAATTTATATAATTTTTTTTTTTTGAGGATTAACAAATTTTGAAAAAGAAAAATAAGTTAAAACATGTTTTAAATAAATTATGCATCAAATGAAAGCATCAAGAAAAAAAGGAAAAAACAAATTCTACAACGTATACTTAATGCTATGAAAGCAGCAGGACAACCCATAATAAGCTGAGATGCGTAAGCAAAAATATTTGAATTGAAACTTTATTTTTTTTTTTTAGAAAATTTTTAAATTATAAAAGTTAATATATTTTTTTCCAATAATTTTCCGCGCAATCATTTTGGTTGCATAAATCCCAACAACATATTGTGAACGCCATTTATTATGAATTGTCCGTGCGTGCACTTGATGAAGAAATAAATATTGTATTTATGTATTGTATTATGTAGTAGAAATACAACAACTAAGTACGCGCGCGCACAACCTCCAAGTCGTCAGTTTCAAGTGTGTGTGTATGGCATAACATTGCAACTTGTTGTTGTATATGTTAGCCGCATTAAAATTGGCAACATTGAAGGCTGGTGTGTGTGTGCATGTGTGTGTGTGTGGCAAACAGAGCGACATTTTATCCCAAAGCGTACTTGGATTTTTGTAATAGATTGCTCGCTAGTGTCATTTAATTTATAAATAACCTATAGCGCATTTTAATTTTGCCAACGCAGTGTGGTTTGGTTTTTCTTTAATACGAAATATAAATCCGCTATTGTAAACTTGTATGGTAATGACTTTTTGCTAGTTGTTGGCATATACACATACGTTTGATGTGCATATGCGCTTTGTTACGCCTATAAGCAGTTTATAAATTAAATTTTAGATATTAATGCAGCTCTTGATTTACTTCTTAAATGTATATTTAATTAAGTATGTATATATATGCATACTTTAATTGTATTCATTATTACGACGAGTTCCATCATCATCGAAAAGTGTTTTTTGTTTTCTTTTTTTTTTTTTAATTCAGCAAATAATTATAATTTTCTTATATAACTATTTTATTGTAATATTGTTTATTATTTTTTCAAAAATATTCTTCTTTTAGAATCAATACAAACAGCAATTGTTGTAATTATGACTGTAAATATTTTTGGAGCGCATAATAAAAATTGCTGTTGCATTGATTAATGTTAGTGTTTTTTTTTTAATTTTTTTTAAATTTTTTTGCTTTTCTTTACTTACAAAAGCTTTTTCATTTTTCGAAAATTTTGTATTTTTCTAAAAATAAATTAAAAATTTCAAATTATCAGCACTTGCCAGGTGCATTTGTTTTTATTTGTATGCATGCATGTACGCATGTTTGCAATGTGCGGATTATTTCATTCCACTGTTGCGCTCTATTCGGCTGCAACAACACAACAATTAATTTCAAATTTTTATATTTATTTTTAATACACAATCAAAATACGACCACAAGTTACAATTTTTGTTTTTTGTTTTTTTTTTTTGTTCTTCGTTTCTCTTTTATTTTGCTTTAGTCACTTTTACATTTATTTAGACATATTTTTTTCGTATTTATTTTTTATACAAGTATTTTTACTACCGAAAATTTTATTGAAATTTCTAAGTTACATGCGGAACCGCGACCAGATTGCTGATCAAAATATAACAAAATTTTTTTTCTCACTTCATTAATGGTTCAGCAATTAAATTTAAGCTTTAATTTTGTCTCCAACTCAATTTTTTAATTTTGTCTCCAACTCAATTTTTTTTGTAGTTTATATATGTATATACTCTTATGCTTAAGAGTTGCTTTATTTCTCTGCACACAGTCTATACAATATGTATGTTTTTTTATAATTTTCAAGTTTTATTAATAAATAAATATTTACTTTCTTTACTTGCTGACAACCCAATGAACACAAATAATTATAAGTTAAGAATTTCATAACTCCTTAATAAACGTTAAGAAATCATTTTTAACATTAACATACGCAAAAATGGAAGGTATGAACGAAAACAGTAAGGAACCTTGAAAACACACTATTGAAAGGCAAAACTACAGGAAATCGCAATGAGATGAATTAAAAGCCGATATCTGAAGTGCTTCGAAGTCAAAAGCATGCTACAAACAAATTTCGAAGATGTTTTAAGCAAGCTGCTAAGAGCAACTGCATAAAAACTGACAATTGTTCTTAATATTGCTTTAGTAAAATTTGCAAATTTTAGTCTTTACATTTACAAAAAATGAAAATAATACAGAAGTTGCAAAAAAAAAAATATTTTCTACAGCAATTGATACATATATGCTGTTCTGCCTTTCTTTCGCTTAAATTTAACGAAAACGAATTATGTGCACCTTCTATGCGTCTATCGTATGTGTCTAAAAAATTAATATTATTAACAAAAGTTATTTTATAAAGCAAATAAATTATACAAAGGTAACTCGTTAAAACAAATGAAGGCAAAATAACAAAATAGCGAAATAAATATACTGTAGCAGCTTTATTCATACTTTTATTTTAGTTAGCGTGTGTAAATATTTCATAAATCGTTTTCTTTTGTTGCACATTTTGTTTAGATTTTCAATTTTTGTCTTAATAAAAAATACGTTACAGTTGCATTTTTGTTTAATTTTCTATTAAGCTACATTTTTTGTTTTGTTTGTTATTAATTTTCTTTTGCAATACTCATAGAACAGCAACCTATACAATGGTTACTGCTGCTTATTTAAGTTTTTTTCTTCTATATTTTATATAGATTTTGGTCATACCAAAATATTCAATTTGAATTTGATTTTGTCTTTAATACATAACATTTTCTTTTAAACTTCCACTAATTTTTAGATTTATTTCGCTGCGTTATTTAAACCTAATTCACTAAGCAGTTTCAATGCATTTTTAGCAGCGTCATCTTGAGATTCTTCAGCGTTGGTGCCCATGCCATGGCAAATTTGTGGTGGATTTGAGGAAAGTGTGACGATAGTCAGGTATTCACTGTGGTTGGCCTTGGGAAAATCCGAGAAGTTTACCTAAGTGAAAATATAATAATGTTTATGTTAACTTGTTTATGAGAAAACTTGCACTCTAGCTAACCTCAAAACCCAACAATTTTGCTAAATAGAGCAGCTGATCCTTCATATTGACGCCAGCTGGTTTTGGTTTAGGCGCCGAACAATTATTTGTGGCTGTAGCATTGCTATTGCTACCACTAATGACGTTAGACGCGTTGCTACTGGCCATTGGTACCGTCATGAGTGGTTCGGCACTGAGTGGTTTAACGCTTCCTGACATTGTAACTTGCTTATCCACCACATTTACACAAGCGCTCTGCAATACCTGAGCTGTTGATACGTTCTGCGTTGTTGCTCCAATAGTTGCTTCAGTTTGTGGCACTTCAATTTCCTCAACAACCGGTAGAGTGTTTGCACTAAGCATGCTTTCTTTTTTCTTCGTGGCATCTAGAGGCAAATTTTGTAAATATTTCGTTTAATAATTTAACAAATGCATATACAAGCATACTTACGTTTCTTGTTATGGCGCAAAATTAAAATGCCCGGTACCTGTCCAGCGGTTGTGGATACAAGTGGCACGTCAAGGCGAGTTTCGGCCGGTGTTGCCGTGGGAATTGTGGCTGCCACTGTTTCGCCTACTTCGCTAAATGGTGGCAATACTGTATTGGTGTTCTCTATGCCCGCTGTTGTGCTGGCTAGCGGCGTTGGCTCGCCACTCACAGTCTGAGTATTTGTTTGTGCAGTTGTTGTGGCCAACTCAGTAACTTCGTTATCCTTCTCGCCCAATATCAATAGCAAGTCTGGAAAGTAAATAAATTAATTAATATATTACTTTGTAGGCTTGTGCACTTCTTTGCACTTACTCTGTGCTGCTTTTCGTTTGGCTAATTTCTTGCTGTTTGCAGCTCCACGCGCCACCTTGCCATTCGCTGTTACTTCGATAATGAAATCACGACGACGTGAGTTCTCATTACCGCTTTTCGCTATCATCTCGAAGACAGGCTCTTTTTCCTTGCGATTTTGTTGAAGTTGTATTAGTCGTGTAATGGGATTATTAACATCGGAATCGGATTCATTCTTTTCTTTAATGGAACTACTGCTGCGCTTGCCTCGTTCATTGGCTTTTGCACCACCATTCGGTGTAGCCTCGTCAGCAGCGGTAGCTTTGCTTGGCGTTTTCACTTTGATGCGTTTAATTGGCGATTTTGTGGGCGTTAAAGGCGGCAGTTTCTTTAATTCTTCCAGCATTTTTTCTGCGGCACGCTTCTTCGATGTCTTCTTGCCGTTACCCTCGCCCTCGGTGACTATTGAGCCCACCACACAAGCAGTTACGAACTTTTTCATGTGTGCCGGTCCTTCTTCGCGCAACACTTTAAAGTGTACCATCATGCTACGTTGTATGCCTATCTCATGGACTAACGAAATGGGCGATTTATTATCACTTTCTTCCAAACTGTTGTTAAGATCTTCATTCATCTGCGTGGTAGCTTGTGCTTTCAACACTTGGAGTGCACGCGCTGCCGCATCGTGTTTGGCTTGCTGTAATGTACGGCCCAAGCCTACGAATTTCTGCTTTCCCACGACTAGCGTCACTTTGGTCAACGCCGCTGGCATGCCATAACGAAGCGGCAGCGGTCCATGATGCTGGTGTTGCGGATGTGACATTGGTGGTGGTGGGATCATACCATTATGAAGTACACCACCCAATGGCGGCGGTGGCGGCGGCGGCATTAAGGGATAACGTTGTTGTTGATTATATTTGGGCAAATATCCACGTTGCGCAGGCGCACCATAACGCGGACGCATGCCCAATCCGGCGGCCGGATGACCATGCATAGGCGGTGGTGGTGGCGGCACAGCATAAGGACCATTTCGGCGCACAAATCCTGGCGCATCCATCATACGTACATGAGGTGGTGGATGTTGGGCTACCAAATGACCACCACCAGGCATGCCGTGTGGTGGAAGCGCATGTGGCGGTGGTGGGGGCGGTACATTAAATCGCGCTTGCATCATGATATCGGGTGTTGGTGGTCCCATGGACTCGGGCGATGTCGCTTGACGTGGGTCTAGTAAATAATATGTCTGTTGTCCCAATTTCATAGCGAGCGCGTTTAACTCGACGGTGGGCGTGATATTTGCACGCGACGACTGGCTATTGCCATCGGCATTGCGACGCATCATTTTCGGCACTGGATGTTTGTATTTGGTCTTTTCAATAGCCTCAGCTGCGGCTAGATGTTGGGCTTTCTTAATTTTAAAACCGTCAGCGGAATACTCCTCCTCACCTAATTTCAGAGTGACGGTGAAACGCTTACAATGTGCTGGACCCTTTTCGTTGGTCAAGCGATACTGATGCGTAATCTGCGGATTTAATACAAGAATGATTTAAGCGCAAATTACAAAATGTATTTATTTTCGCACAGCGTTGTGATATGTAAATTATGTAAAGAAATATAATTAATGAAATCTACAATATTTATAAATATATAAAAATAAATATCAGGGTTTTATTGCTTACTTTATTGTAACGTGCCAGCTCATTGACCAGACACATTGGTGTCTTCTCTTTCGAGTTTTTCGGCACTGTGCTGTCCTCATTGGATAATATGTTGCTTGTTGTCGTGCTGCTCACTTCATCGATAATATTTGAATTTGGTGTTTCGTTGGTCACATTCTCCTTATTAGCATCTTTTGACGAAACTTTTGTTATCAATGAGAGAGAGAGAGAAAATTGCAATTTAGAACTATTAATATTTTATTTTGCACTTACCATCTACTTGCTTTATGGCATGGACACTTTTACTCATATCCTGCGCAGTTTGCACTGCAACGACAGAATTTTCCTTAGGATCTTGGTTTATGTTGCCAGCAATGTTTGAAGTTACTGACGTTTCTGTGCTAGTCGTCACAGCATTGTTACCGCCACCAGCGCTGCTTGTACTACTCTTGGCGATCTTTTTAGTTTCCCCTATGCCCACCGTTGCTGTTACGGAAGTGTTCCCCTCACTATTTGACGACACATTGTTTTGCTGTCGAGCCTTCAGTACGCGATGTGGATTTTGGAGAATAATTTTTGGTGGCATGCCAGCGCCACCTACGTTATGGTGGTTATGGTTGTTGTTATTGTTGTTATATCTAGGCTTAGGTACGTTATTATTGTTGCTTTTGCTGCTGCTGTTGTTGTTGTTGTTGGCTTGAACATTGCCGGCAGTGTAGTAGGTCACAGTTGTAGGTGGTTGCTGTTGCAAATGTTGTGTTGGTGGCAACGGCTGTGGCGGTTGTTGTTGTTGCTGCGGATGTCCGCCAACAACAACATTTTTAGCAATGGACACTGTTGTTTGTATGGGTGGTGGTGGTTGTTGTTGTGATTGTTGTTGTTGTGATTGTTGTTGTTGATGATGATGGTTCTTTGTATGCCCATGTGACTGCTGCGGTGGCATTTGAGTCACTGTATGCTTATGTTGATGGTGCGGTTGCTGCAACTGTTGCACTGAATGCTGCTGCGGCTGTGACTGTTGTTGATGGTGCAGATGATTTTGTTGCTGTTGCTGTTGCTGCTGATGCGATGATGATTGCTGTCGCGATGTATGATGTGACACATGTGTTGTTTGTTTTTGTGTTGGTTGTTGTTGCTGTTGTTGTGTTTGTTGTACTGGCAATGCATTGCCGTGTGTGCTGCTGACGTTGTTGTTATATGGTTGCGGTTGCTGTTGTTGATGGTGATGATAGTTATTTTTGTTTGTACTATTACTGTTGTTGTTGTTGTTGTTGTTGTTGTTGTTGTTGTTGTTAGTATTTATATGCTGATACTGCTGACGAAGCTTCTGTAGCTGCGTATTAGAATGCATAGACGTATGTTGGTGTTGCTGTTGATGTTGATGCTGGTGTTGCTGCAGTGGTTGTTGATTTACACTGAAACGGTATAAAACGAACGATGTTTTGGTTTTTTTTTTCATCATTTCTTTGTGGGCACAAAGAATATCAAGGATATATGTAAAAATAATCAATATATGTAGGTCTTTCGATAATAATGAAATTCAAAATGTAGTCAAAAGCAAGAGAAATGTGCAATTATGTCTGTCAAATAGTTATATATATATATGTATGTATGCAAAACTCTTTTTCGAGGTAATACTAGTTTTTGTTGCCTCCAAGCCACTTAAAAAATACAAAAAAATTTAATAAATAATAATTCGTTTAAGCGCAGAGAAGATCATTTTAAACCATTAAAAGTCCTTTAACAGACTAAAGCGTTTCATAAGATTACGCTTTAATGCTCCTGCGGGTTAGGGGCTTAAGAATTTACTCGCGGTAAGGCAAGCCTGTCGTAAGAGGCGACTAAAATCCAATAGTTCGCGCAACAGTCGGGTCTTTATACCGGAACGACCCGGATTTTTATCCGGCCAAGGACTGTCACTCCCGCAACATTCCCCAAAAAGTACTTTGAGGAATAATTTTGCGGTTACAACAACAACAACAACAAATACGATTTAAAATTCTCCTTTAACAAAACTAACCGAAATTATTTTCCAATCTCATAAAATGCAAACTTCACAAATTAATTTAAGCACAAAAATCTTAGGTGTGACACATATTCCTTTGAGAAAAATCCATTCAAAATGTGCAACATTTCACAACCAACATTTGACAGACGACCGCACAACAACACCAATCAAGCGTATAAATCAAATCTAACCGATAAACAATGGTCTGGCAGTCAAAAGTGTCGAAAAATTGCGAAATCCACTGAAAATAATACCGCGACCGATAAAATATAACTGCATTTCTCAACGCGTTGCGTTGTGCAACTGAGCTCTGTTGGACGCTAACCAATTTGATGCTGCAACTACCAGATGGAAGAAGAAAAAAAAACTAGACACACACAAGTCAAGAGAACTTGTGTGTGGATGCTTGCGGAAATCCTTACGCAAATAGACCCACGTAAGAGAGTAGCAAAGAAAAAAAAAAAAAAACTGTGGTGCTGACCCCTGTATTGTTGTCACTGACTGCAGAACACTGTCAGTGTTGTTGTTTTCATACATATATTTTTGTGCACTCTTCAAAGGGCAGTTCACCACTGTTTTTTCATTTTTTTTTTTTTTTTGTTTTTGCCGAAGGTATCCTTTCATTGTTAATACATGCAGAAATATATATAAGTACATAAGTACATATGTATGTAAGTATACGATTTGAAATTGCTTGCGAGTGCTGGCAACCGCGACACATACCACATAAAATTCTTAAAGACAAGATTCAATTTAGTGCTACTACTGTAGGTAGCAATAATAACGCGAGCGCCAAAGCTTACAATACAAATATACACACACACACAGACACATATTGACTCTTGGTGTGCTTATAAACACAATTTCAACTTGTTCGATTTGTCTCGAAACTCTGCATTTCCATTTACCAATTGTACAATATATGTTGCAAGTACAGATGCACATATGTACAAGCTTAGAATGACATACATACAAAAACATACGTTCCTAGGCAAGCATATCCTCGTTTGTGCCTTTAGTTAATGAAGAACAACTCAAGTGTCACTGAGGTGACTGTCATAGTCAATATCTGTCAGCTTCGCTACTAAGCAATGCAATGAAGCATATTTACATACATATATTATATGTATATCGAAAAGGACTGTAACAAAAAAAAGAGATTCATTCTATATGGCATTCGTCGAACTGCTGGCTGTTTGACGCTGCCTTGCCACCACTGTCCGTCTCTCCGTCTGTCTGTCTGTTATTGCACGCAACAAAGGCAGGTACGTTTTCTAATTCGCTTAAATACTGACAACGGGCGTTTTGTTTCGATTGTTCGCCGTGGTCACCACTCTGCCACTTCAATTGTCATATCCGCTAACCCCACCGTCTAGAGTCTTGGTGGCTACTTTCAGGTTTTTTCTTTTTTTTTGTTCATATTGTATTTTTTGGAAGTATTTTTTCGCGTACTTTTTTCATATAGTTTTGTTTTGGTGAATTTGGCAATTACGGTTTGGCTGTAGCACTTTAAATAGGTCAACGCCATCAGCATTATCTTTATCATCATCATCATCATCATCATCATCATCATCATTATAAACGTCTTCTTCTTCTTCTTTAGCATCACTCTCTATTTCGTTGCATATAACATATGTATGTTTGTATGTATGTATGTATGTACATAATGGTCATTATCATCAGCATCTGTAGTGAGCAAAGTGACATTGTCAACGTCATTGACGCTGCGGCATAAATACTTTCAAATGTGACAAATTCAATTAGTGTTCAAAAAGCGAGTGCAGCCCGTCAAATAAGTGATGTGACGACGAATATAAAATCATTAATCCTTAATTTTTTTGTTTTGTTTTTTTGTTTGTCTTATTGTTCTGAATTCTAATTACATTTGCGTTTTGTTGGCAAATTTTACAGCCCATTGAAGCTTTTAATGAAAGCTCAATGTTTGCATACACTGCAACTGAGAGTGGTATTAGTTAATGTTTTAGAAACCATTAAGAGGATTATGCCATTGGTTGGTATATTCCTTTTGAGCGCAGCTGATGTGGTACGCACTGAATACTTAAAAGTCGAGTGCTCAAAAGGAAACTCACGGTTATAGGCTGCATGTCACAATTCTCGAAGACCTAACATGCCAAAATTCTCCAGAAGCTTAAGTTGGAGAAAGAGAGAGAGTTATACATACGTTAATATATCAATGAGAACGGAAATGTGACTCCAAGTTAAAAAAAAAATAGAAAAAAAAAGTACTTAAGACATGCTGAAGTCTTATCCTTCATGAACTTATCATGTTTATTGGGAAATTCAAATTCGATTTCAATGACTTTCAGGTGAATATTTATTTCAAATTAGGTGTGTAGAATGCCAAATGCCAAATTTTATTCTTACATGCTTTTCTAACGGATTTTCCAACCAAAATCTCAAATCTGAATAAAACAGTTATATGGGGACCATATGATGTAATCCTTCGATTTCGATGATTTTCGGTCTAAATGTTTTCTTTTTTTTATATACGTGCCGCTATATATATGCCGCTCAGTGTACACATCGATTAACTCCATAAAACGAAAAGTTGAGAAACGTGATGATGAAATGTATATTGTTTTGGAAAATTGCTCTGATAGTATGAATTCAAATATATATTGTAGAATGCCTCATTGCAGATATAGCTTTCATCTAACGGTATATAAAATTAATAAGAAGAAGAATAAAACTACAGAATAGATACAGTGTTACGGAAACGCTTTACATAAGAGTATGAAGGTAATCGAAAAGGCTTCTAAAAAAAATTACATATTATTCAATGGCCAAAAAAATTTACCATTTAACGGTGTTAAACTTTATTATTCAGGAAAGGTATTATACATATAAAGAGTTATGACTATACTAAGGCTCTGACACTTAAAATTAAAAGAACTGAGAAGCTCATATAATAATTGTTGTTCCTGTAGTAGCGGTTCACTAACCCCGCGTAGGTATAGGTTTCACTAATCTAAGACGCCGAGGTCATCTAATGGGAGGTCCAGGAAACGAGCAGTTTCGACGGGTTTTGACCAAAGTAAGAGGGGGGGTTAGATGAGTCGGTTTAAGAGGGACTGGTGAAGAGGTGGTTAGTGTCGTGCCGAGACTCTCCACAAGCAGAGCATACTTTAGATATGTTGGGGTCGAGTCTGGATAAGTAGGAGTTTAACCTGCTACAGTTTCCAAACCTGAGTTATGCCAATGTCACGCTGGTCTCTCGAAGAAGCTCGTGCTTATTGTCTGCTATAGGTGGTGGTATTTCTCCGAGTACGCTATTCACTGGAAGGGAGTCCTTGAAGGTGTTGACTGATTCCTGGTGAATGGCGTTCAGTGCCTGTCTGTACGCCGTCCTGTCCAGCGGTTGTTGTACATGTTGCTGGATGGTGTTTTTTAAGTCGAGTACTCCCTTTCTGATGTGCTTAGATGGAGGTTCAGTTTCTATAATTCGTGCTGAGGAGCTCTTTTTGATGGAAAATCTCAAATCTGAGCAAAAAAAAAATCATATTCAACTAGACAGACTTATCCTGTACCTCTTTAAGCTAGATAAAATCCGAGTCGTTCCGATATTTTTTGAGCGCCTCTTCCGACAGACATGCCTTACCGCCGAAAAATTCTTGTACCCCTTTCCCGCAGTGTTTCAGGAAGAGTTAAGAATTTGTTTCCTTACACAGATTTTCTCAATTAGATTTTTTCTTCTTGCTTTGATTTCTACTACTTTGTGCTCTTCGGAAGATTATTAAAACAGTCATTTTATTACCTTATCTAATTTAACTGTACCATTCCAATTATGAAAATAAACTTATCAATACTTATGAACCTCTGTCGTCTAGACACATTTGATTATTAGTTCATTGAGATAAATGAATGTAACAATAACTTGTAGGCTAAAACGATGTTGGATGTTTCTAGGTGTCTTGGAAAGAACAGAAAGTTATACATACATACATATATGTACTGGTAGATATATAAATTATGCAAAATAAAACTGAAAAAAAAAATTAATTTTCACACGTTACTCTCAAGCGAAACAATGGCCAACTATTTTGTTATTGTGTGTTTTTTTTTTTAATCGAACGGTAGCATGAAATAAACTGCTATAAAAGGCGGTGAAAAATTAAATGTATGCACATACATATATACCCAAGTGTAAGTTCCGGGTAAAACAGGAAAGCATACGCTCAGCAAATATATTGGCTAATGGTGAATATTGGTGTTCTTATTGTTGTTGTTGTTGGCGATACGAATCACTGACAACTAACTGTAAATGCCACCACTACTTCAAAATGAAGTGGGAAAACGGCATGTACGGTAAGTGACAGGCGCAAGGAAGAACTGTCCTTACATACATACATACATACATACATACGCTATTGCAAGAGAGCAAGCGAATAGTCAACTATGTATGTATGTATGTATGTATGTATGTACACCTCTAGGAATCAGAAGACAGGGTAGAAGAAAGAAGCATAACTCGTTACGCTTAAACGGAAGTCATGCTGCGTATAAAACCAACGCCAGGCAGCAGACTTGCCAACCCATCATATCACACAGGCGAGCACATAGAAATTTAAATATGTATATTTATTGATGTATATAGGTATTCACACGTAAATGTATAGAACGGTGTATGTAAAACAGCATAAGACATCAAAGGATATAAAAGAAATTATAATTTATGAGTTGAGAAAATACAAAAAAATGCAAAAGGAATCATCGTACAAAGCACATATTCATGCATGTATAAGCGTACACTTTTCACTAGCGAGACATAGTTTCATTTTGCTTCTTTTTATTTTGTAATTGTGTTGCCACGTATAGGAAATATAATATAGGAGAGGATGAGGAAGTTAATTGAAGTCCTGCTGAAAAAATGTTAAAAATGCAAATAGTTACGTACCGTATATGTGACGGCGCGGTGGTGAGCGCTGGGGATCCAGCAGCACCACCAACACCCCCGGCAACTGGGCCATTATTGAGATGCTGTTGCTGTTTTGTTTGACTATGCTGCTGTGGTAATTGCTGTTGAATGGCTACTGTTTGTGGTGGTGCGGCTGGCACATGTGCCAAATTCATTGGCGGCATTTGTGTTTGAGTTTGTGTATGCGGTGGTGGCACCGCCATGTGATGGGCACGCAAATGTGGGGGCGCTGTGCGTGCGACATGTGCATGATGTTGCATTTTATTGATTTTTATTTTTTTTAGATATGTGATACTTTATAAACAAACAAAAAAATACACGTTTAAATCTTTTGCCAACGATGCGCTGAAATGAGAAGAGAGAATGGATAGTTGAATTTTTGTATATAATAATGTTTTTTGTATATAATAATGTTAAATCGGCAAGCAAGAGTAAGTTGTATGTTTTTTTAGAATAGGATCTTTACAGCAATATTTCAAATTATGCAAATGCGATACTTGCTTTACATATATACATAAAATATTGCAACATGCGTAACAAAAATACCTACATGTACATACACACACACATACAAATATTTTTAATCTCGGGGTAGCTCTTTAGTTGCAAGCTAAAATATGCATTCTATTCGCATTGTCAACGGCGAATGTCAGCTTTCAACACATACATTGTTTCAAAAAGTGCATTGAAAAGTTGTTTCTGTTTTTTTTCCTGTTGTGTTGTCGTTGTTGCATTCAACTCATGTTTATTGTTATTGCGAAAGTCCATGGCTTCTGAAAAATTACTCTTGACAAGCTCGCATACACATCGTTGCTGCAGTTTCTAGGAATCAAAAAAGTTACTAAAAAAAAAATGCATATATCAAGCTACCCTGAAGAGAAGTTGCAACTGAATTTTTTTCCGCCATAGCTGGGAAGCATTAAATAACGCAAATGCATTTCTTATTTTTCACTATTTATTCTTCTACTTGTACGAATTATAATTGGATAAAGCTGCAGCTGCACTTTTTCGGCGTTGAAGCAAATACTGCAACGGGTTAAGAAATCAACACATTCAAGGGTGAATGGCAATATGGAAACAACAACAAATATTGAATAATTAATTTCATTTTTTTCTATTGTATGCAGCAAGTCATGCAGAGATGTTTTGTTGTTAATGCGTAGTGTCAATACTCGCCGAATAATCGCTAAAATATACAAACATATGAGTTATGTGTATGTAAATATAAATTTAACCAAAAGCACTTGATTCAGGTAGAAGTGTAAAAGTCCATTTAACTAAAGTTATTAGGAGTGAAAATTCACTATGGACATACACTCAGCATAAAGGATTATTTGGCTGTCACAATAGCCGAGTAAATTGTTTTGCTTACTGCCATTCGGAAGCCCATGGCTCTAGCGCTGGTTCGACTAACATTCAAAATAAAATTTATTAATTCCGGTGGCCCCTCGTCAGGTAATGTTAAGCACTACGAGTGCATTTGTGATATAAAATAAAAGCTCGTCATAAAAATCTATTGTGCGTTCGGAGACGGTTTTGTATTTCTAAAGTGTAGGTCCTTAAATTTTGCCAAATATAAAATGGAGACAATTGTTTTTAAATCCTGCATAAAGAAACCGAAATTTGCAACAGTTTGTGTATATAACAGAATCTAACTTCAGCGCCTTAATAGATGTTAAATTTCCAGAGTTCTTTTTATCAGTACAGCAATAAAGCGATATTCGATATTTGAGAACTTAAGCTATATTATTAAATTAGTGATAATTTAAAACATAGGTATAACGAAATTATTTGTTTATAGTTACAAACTAAATAGCATTTACTTCCTGCTTTCAGTACGAATATCAAACATCACAAGATGCCAGCTGACCAGGTATGAACTTTGCCTGCGTCATCGTTTCTAATACAAAACACAGCGCTACTCAACTAGAAAAGAAGTCAGCCGACACTGCTTGGAAAGCAAGCAATGAAATAAGTCAGTTTTATATGAATTTGTATGTATGTATGAAAGTTCAACCTACCAGCTGGTATGGGATCTATTTGATGCTGAGCTGAATAGTTGTTGTTGTTACTTTATGTTTGTTGTTTATTTAATATGTTATAAGCGTCGGTGTAGCACAATCTTGCTGAACTGTTTACTCCAGCCCGCCAATAAATAGTTGTTCCTTCTGAATACGAGGTAAACTTTACTTCTATGTTGTTTGTATGGAAGAAGTTGTCGAGGATGATTCTGCTTATCCGTTTTGCTTTGTATGCTTTTCTAAAAATTTTCACTCATTTCACTGCATATACTTTTCCCCTCGCCAATTGATTTTGCACTTTTATTGATTACGATTTTGCACTTTCTTTACGTGAACTGATTTCTGCCCTTTCTTTTACCTTGGATTTTGCCGTTCTCTTGCGATTTTGCAATGAAATTTTCACAATTTTTTACTTTTTTCTCTCTGGCCGTTGAGGCTCTTTCACTTTATCGAAATTATTAACTAATTATACTTAAATTTAATTGTTGAACTTGTTTAATATTTTCTACACACAACTTGCTTTATGCTCTTTTATTTGCTTTAATAATTAATTTACTTAATTTATCGCAATTTGCTTAAATTGTAATTAACGTGCGGCCATATTTTGTGCGGCTGCGATGGAACTCGAAGAATAATAAATTAAATGCAAAATGCAGAAAACAAGAACACTGAAGTAGACGCACGGTTGTATTCGGAGTGTTTTTCTCCTCTTTCTTTCCTTCTTCGCATAGTTTCAGCTTTTGCTTTGATAGAGGGCGCAAAATTACAGTTGGAAACATAGGTGACGCTGAGGGCTAAGTGGAATAGGTGAAAACATGTGAAATAATTGAAAACTGGTATAAATAAGTTGGAGAAGAATATGGCATAATATTTTTTATAAAAAAAGAGTTTTGTTACCTAAAATTTTAGATATTTCCAAGAAGAAGGTGCGAAATGTAAATATGAATTGGGCTGTAATGATATTGAGAGAGTAAGATTTTTTACTCTCCAAAAGGAAAAAAAAAATACTGAACTCGCTACGCAAAAAGATTGAGTAGACAGTAAATTGTGCAACAGCTTTTTATTTTGGCAGTTAGTAACATTTGAATCCCTGTTTTGTATTTTCAAGTGTTTCCTTATTTTCATAAGTCTTTTAATATAATAAGCAATTTATCTCATTTTCAATTTATTAATTGTATTCAAAATTTATCTCATTTCAACAATATTGAAATTCTGCGTCGTCAAACCATAAGGATGTCAGTAAATATGTTTTTTCCGATAGCGCTCTGAACGCACGAACATTTCTTTGAAATGACTTATCGCTTGAATGAAAAATGATTAACGATCTTCAGGAAGAATAATAAGTACGAAAATGAGTTTGGAACCCCCCTTCCGTATTAGCCGGCATATTATAGAAAATCTTTGATTCTTTTCGTATACAATCAAAGCATATTATCACTCATATTAAAGTATTAATGTTATTTAATTTTAAATAAGTTTTCTTTTGTTTTCATCTTTTGCAAACACTTTACAATCACAACCGCACATACATACATACTCAGGTGTAATTTGGTAGAAAAAAAGCAAAGAAAAAAAATGTAATCATTTACTTTTGATTAATTCACATGCCCTGCCCATCCATGTGTACTCGGCTCACACCAATCAATGCTTCGTAGCTGCTTTAATTGTTAATCAATAATTGCTGTATACCGTTATACACTATTCCTCACACATCACCATTTCCTCTACTGAAAAGTAATAAAAAAAAGTTTAAATTTCACAAATTTGAAATCAAATAAATTTTGTATCGATTTACATACCAAACAAGATTCCGGTCACAAGGTGATGATGTTAAGCTACTTCACATATATACATAGAAATGTACATATCTGCATTTGTTTTGTTTTTTTTCTTTTTCTTAATTACATCATCGATGCTGACACCAACCGACTCACCCAGTGTCACCGGTATTACCACCTTCAAAAGGTGCGCTTTTGCCGAAATCCGAGTGAAAGAAGTAAAATGTTAACATAAATACATACATTTGCACATTTCTTTTGCATTCTCTTGAGTACAACAAATAAGAGAAAAAACTAAAGTATCTATATATCAAAAATACATATTGACATTTCGAACCCAAAAATGGTGAAATATATATGCACATATGTAAGAAAAAAAAATTTAAAAAAATAAAAATATGAGTAAAAAAGTAATAATAAAAACATAATCAATTTCATAATATGGCGGATTATTATCAACAATAAATTAATCAACGCGCTGTTAATGACAACGACGGGAGTAAGAGCGCCGGCGGCATCCATAAAATGTCAATCATAACAACAAAAAGTACGGATTGATGAGATTTATTTCAATTTGGTGGCTAAATGAATTTTACAGGAGGGCTATTTCAAAGCAGACAGTTTATGGTAAGAAAAATATAGAGAAAAAGCAAACAAGAAATAAAAAAAATTTTAAAGAAAATTATTTCACACCAACACTTGGGCATCTTGGACACATTGTTTTCAACCATATTATATCATAAGCACCACGTTTACTTATTTTCGGCTTATCGTTTGAATATTTGTGGTCGTTTAGGTTTAATTATAATTAATTTACTCTCTCAACATACAATATTTGGAATTTTGCGCCCTTAACTATGAATATTTCCATACTAATGCATATATAATATTGTATGAGGAAAACCCATATGCAAATGCGTATTGGAAAGATATTTTGGGCGAATACGACTGCAACGGTATTATAAGTATGACATAATATGCATATGTATACATGGGTACACAACGAAATATCAACATAACTGTTATAAATATTATATAACACGTGTTTAAATATCGGTAGTATTCAAAATATGCTAAATACTGAATGGATATAGACACAAATATTAAATCAAATAAAATTAGAAAAAGAAAATAAATTAAAATAAAATAATTAAAAAATAAACAAAAAACATTACAAAATAAAACTAGATAAATAAAACATGAAATAAATTGGTTTAAAAAAAATCTATATTAATTAATTAAAATAAAATTACATAAAAATAAAATATGTCAAATTATATCCATTTAAATAGATTAAAAAATGAAATGGTTTGAATTAAAATAAAATAAAATGAACTAAACTAACTAAAATAATATAAATTTATATGAAGTTAAAAAATTCCAATAAAAAATAGAAGAATACTAAGAGTTCTAAATAAAATAATATCAAGTAAATTTAAAATAAAGTAAAATAAAAACTTTATTAAACTAAAAGCGAAATTGATTTAAATTTAATTAAAAACGTCAATTTTATCGAAATAAAAAATTATATACAGCTTTGAATGAAGTTGCTACAAAATGGAGTAAGAGCAAATAACATAAAATGAAATAAAATATAATATTAAAAAAAAAAAATGTAGCGAAGGATAAATAAAACAAAAATAAAAAATAAACAAAATGAAAAGAAAAAAAATTAATTAAATAAAACAAAATAAGATTAAATAAAGGAAATAAAAAATTAAATTAATAAATTAAAAATTACTGAAACAAGATGGAATGAAATAAAACATAATAAAATAAATAAAATAAAATGCAATAAACTATTTAAAATAAGATAAATTAAGATAGTGAAAAAATAAATTGAATAAAATAATATAAAAAGAATATAAAAAAATTAAGATATAAATACAATAAACTAAAATCAAAGAAAATATAGTAGAGAAAAACAAAATAATATAAAATAAAATAAAGCAAAATAATTTAAAAGAAAAAAAAAATGCAGAAAAAAAAACTAAATAGCGTATAGAAGAAAACATATAAATAAAGTAAATAAAAGAAAAATATATAATTATAGTAAAGAGCCGCGGTAGCCGAGTGGTTGGCATTGCGTACTGCCATTCGAAAGGCTCGAGTTCAAATCCCCGTGCGACCAACATCCAAAAGTTATGAAAAATTCATTTAAATAAAAAATTAAGTTAAATTTTCTAATTGCGGTCGCCCCTCGGCAGGGAATGCCAACCCCTCCGAGTGTGTTTCGGACAGGAAATAAAGCTCCTCATAAAAAACCCATCAGCCGTTCGGAGGCGGCTTAGTATAAACTGTAGGTTCCTCCATTTGTTGGAAAAACATCAAGACGCAAAACCACAAATTGGAGGAGAAGCTCAGCTAAAAAAAACGCTTCAGCGGTGACAAAGCGCCAATTATATATAATATATATAAAGAGATATCAATAAAAGCATATTAAAAATAATTTAATTGATTTAAATGAAATAATGCAAATATAAAATAAAATGAAACAAAATGAAAGAAACAAGGCAAAGTAAAATAAAAATAATAAAAACTTAAATATAATAAAATTTAAATTAAATTAGGCAAAAAATAATTAAGTAAAATTTTTTCTTATAAATGAAAAATTTTACAGTATTAATAACAGAGAATAAACATATCAAAAATAAAATAAAATGAAATTACATATAGAAAATAATGATAGCACAAAAAAATAAAGTAGTACAAAATGCTATAAAAATTAATAAACAATTACAAAAGTGAAAACGAAAAATAAGAAATAAAATTATATAAAAATATAAAAATAAAATTAATTAAAAAAAATTCTTTGAAAATGCGTATCGCTACATTATATGCGCCGATAACATACATACATATCCACAAACGCACACTTATGCAAAAGAAATACCACAAATTAATTTTAAGTTTTGAAATAAAACAATAAAACACGCAAGTAAATAACGAAATTAGAAACAAAGAAGGAAGGGGAGGAGTAAAAGAAAATAATATATACTCATGCAGCTTGACGCAAACACTAAATTTAATGTATGTAAATTTTATTTTCTTAAACGAAATTTGATGTTTAAAACTTTTTCATTTGTGCCTGGAAGAAACTAAGAAATTATGTAGGAGTTTAAAGCAATCATAAAAGAGCTAATAGGTTAATTAAGTTGAGTAAGTTGAGTAAGGATTGGGTTGCATTCCAAAAAGCATAACATACATATCAATAGTTGCGCTGGCCTTTAATTGCGTGCAGATATTTATATGCAAACCTTAATCCAATCAACCACGCTGCAGGTGAGAGGCGATTAATTTCAATGTTAGCGCCAATGTAACGCTCAAGTAGTTATAAATATATATAGACGTAAGTATATACAAAGAAAAATAAATTTCTCTGGAATATATGAATATGTCTTTAAGCTTTTGCGCTATTTTTGAGCTTGAATTAATTTCCACTGGCACACTTCATTTCAACCGGACCCTCAATTTGTTTATGCATGCTCTACGTTTAACATCAAAGGCACCTGATGTGGTTTTATAATCGCTCAAATACGTATGCATACAGAAAACCATAATTTTTTTTGCATGATTAATCAATGCATAGTTATTAACGAATATTAGTCGAATTATGCATATATTTATTTTGATATTTTATTTAATATTTTTTTTTTTTAAATTGGTTATATACTTTGAAGATGTACAAATAGGTGTGGTTAGTAGGAATGAATATTGTGACATGTGACACTACCGATTACCTCCTGATTTTATTACAAAATTTTCAACCCAAAATACTTACGACTTTTGTTCGACCTTAAAAAGGTTATTTCTTGAACTTTTTTCAAGAACAAAAACATGCCATGC